ATAAGATTCGCATCATGAAATTTTAGATTTTTGTGTTTAACTCAAAGGCTTGATTTGGGGACTCCCAAATAAGTTGCTTATTAGTTTATTAGTTTATTTTATCACATTATATTCTTATTTTTTTGCATATCGCTACAAGAAATTAAGATTTTAGAGACAAATATTTAGAGACAAAAATAATTTGTCTGCAAAAATTATACTTTTAAGGACAAAATGAAGGAATTTTAAAATATATATATTATTAAAGTTATTACGTTTTTTTAGACAAATTTATTTGGTTGTAAAAAGATTAATCACTTTTACCTACAATATTAGTTTGTCCCTAATAAACCCAAACCATATATCATTTTATTTTATATATGATTTTTGAATTCAATAGTCGGGACTATCTACAAAAAAACACAAAAAACATCCAGGTTCTATTTCATCGCTTACGCTCACTCTCTCTCTATCAAATCCCTAATTTTTTTTTTCTCTCGCAAATGCAAGTTGATTGCTTATGATCTTGGCAACAATTTCATCCTCGAGGAGTCTCATAGCATCTCTTCCCTATGATTTCAGCATCCAAGTTCGATCGATTAATCAATTTCAAGGGTTGTTTAGGGTGTCCTAAATAAGTGCATTTTTTTTTCTTTTTGGACTAAAAAGTTTATGGAAAAAATATGGATGTTTCGGTTAACTTTTTAATTTTTTATGAAAAAATGTGTATTAAAAAATTGTATAAATAAATGTATAGAAGAAGTTAGTGATGTAGCTCGTATAGTCTGGCAGAGCAGTGGGCGGATTAGGAGATAGGAAATGATTGCCTTCTTTTCGGGCTTGAATTTGACGGTGTTGTTTGGCCCTTAGGGCTCGCCACGGGTTTCGTTTTGCTAATCAAAACCGTTCAATGTGTAGAACTCATCGAGTATATATTGTTTGTAAACAAATAACGGTGATTGGATATCGATAGCTATTTGATCGTGTTAGTTTTTTGTCAACCGTTAACTATAACACCATCTATTTTTTATAAAAATTAATTTGATCACATAGTTAGCGATATCCGATCAACGTGATTTTTTACAAACATATTGTATTCGACGAGTTCTACACATTGAACGGTTCAGATTATTAAAACGATACCCGTGATGGCCCCCATTGGCCCAACATTACCCCATAATTTAATGAATATATATACCTAATTTCCCCCTTTAACATCCCACTTTCATCAGTTTAGTACCAATTATGTAACTATCGATATCCGATTAATGTGATTTTTATAAGCATATAGTACTCAACGAATTCTACACATTGAACTGTTCCGATTATCGAAACGGGTCCCGTGGGTGAACCCTCACGGGCCCAACAACACCCTCCAGCCTGATCTGAGAGCTGAGGGAAGCTGGCCCTAATAATAAATGTATTAACATATGTGATGATATTATTATTAATCTCATCTATTATATAAATTACAAATATTCAAAATTTTTAAATTAGGTCACATTTTCTATTAATACACTATTAATTAATATATATATATATATAAGGTTATTCATACTGAAAACAACAAACACATGCTTTCCCATGAATTTTTAGTCATTTATGATTTAAATTCATTTCGACTAAATTCACACTATAAAACTTGCTTGGGAATATGATGGTTAGGCATTTTTGGCCAAAACATTCAAAAAAAAATAAAATAGACTATTTAGTCCAATAAAACAAAACATCACATCTAACTTATAATCATTATATTACTTTCTTTACAAAAAATCAAAAAAGCTAAAAAAACTATTCTTAAATGAGACTTTTTAGCCCTAGACTAAAAAAGTCAAAAGACCAACCCACTTTTCAAACGAATCCATAGTCCCATTTGAAAAGTTGGTTATTGTAATTCATTTTTAATTTTTTTACTACTTTAATTTAATTAAGAAAGTTATGTTTTGAAATATAGTGGACTTTTTTTTTTAATGTTAATTTGATGATTGTGAAAGAAAAATCAAAATGATTATGAATTTAATGTGTCATTTTTTTATTGATTACTGTAACCCATTTTATTTTTATTGATTATTTAACTCAAATAATCCTTTCCAAACAAGGCCAATAAATATTAACCACAAAAATATATTACTTAAAAAAATCATTTTTCTCGCACCATAGCATTTTTGTAATGAAAAAGTCTAAAAACACATAAAATTTTAAATACATAACACATAGATCATAGATGTTCTATATGCGAATTTTGTGTTTGAAATTTTCTATGCATGTAACATATTGAATAGTAATCAGCTTGTTTAGTGTGGATTTTCAGGATTTATTTTTCAGATAGTTGAAATTTTTTATTTCACCAATTTTTTTAATATTTTAAGCAATTTTTTTTTCTAATTTTTAGATACACCTAACATAAATACACTTAAAAAGAATAATATATGTGGAAATACCAAAAATAAAAAAATATACGAGAATTCAGTACATTTTTCATATTATTGTGTATTTATTAATTTTTAAAAATATTTTATACAAATATTTTGCTTTTTAGATATATTTAAGTAAGATACATCTAAAAAAGTAAAATAATATTTAAAATTTAAAAAATATTTATTAAAAATAAAAAAATATAAAAAATATAAATAAAAAAAAATCAATTTCTAAAAAATTAAAACCAAACATACTGAATAGTCTCTTCAATTCACTAACTTTTTTTAGCAAATATGTAAAGAGATTGGAAAATAAAATCAAATATCATTGCTCCAAAATTGTAAGCTCATGTTCAAAAAATAAATTGATTCTATTTAAAATTGCAATTCAGTGGGCCGGTCCGAGCCCAAACCAATTGAGAAGTGTAGAAGGAGAGGATCCGGACTCGAATATAACGGTGCTTGAATCGTTGGTCACATCTTCTTCGCACCCCCTCCTCCACTCTCCGCACGGTCGCGTCGTCGGCTCACAGTTGGCGGCGAACTCACCTGTTTTCGGCGACAAGCTTCTCTATTCGTACAGAAAATGCAAACAGTACTCTCTCTCTCTCTCTCTCTCGACAGACATGCGTGTGTATATGCATCTACATCTACGTTTGTGCCTATATTGTTGCAGATTTATTTTTTTGATATTTTTGATTATTTGGTGCGAATGTCTTTGAATTTTCAGCTCCTAATAGCAACTGAAGAATCCCATTTTCTTCTTCGACTCTTCAAAGGCAGCATCCTAACCCTAGACTCCATCAAGGACTGTATCGCTCGGTCCTTTGCTGACATTTTCTGTGGCAAATCCAACATTGATTTTTTCGATCAAAGGTATCTAATTTTATTGATTTTTTTTTTTAAAATTTAAATTGGGTAAAAATGGCTCATTCTTGATTTAAACTTATACCAAATTGAGTTTTACCCATGTTTTTTTCACCCAAATCTGTATCAAATTTAAATTTTGAGTGCTTCCTGCTTATAGCTGAGTTTGTCTATTGGAGCACTTCTATCAAAAAAATCTTTTATGCCGTGATTAGTTTTGGTTAAGGGATTTGGGAAGGAAAAAGGAAAATGGAGGTAAAATGTAAATAAAATACATTTCACTAGTTTCACACACCTTTTCATTTCCCTTTCCAAATCCAAATCGCTCAACCAAACTTTCCAAATCGTTCAACCAGAACAGCGTTACTCAGAAGGGCTGGAGTTGGCCTTACATTTCTTTTAATAATTAACTCTTACGTATATTGTGTCATCTCACAAATTATATGTTTGTATCTAGGTATGTACTTGTAAATTTTCTTGTTTGTTTTTTGTTTTCCTTTTTACAATGAAATCTTTAGCAGTTTGCACTACAACCCACATTGTGAATATGTATAGGTGCAATGGAGTACCGCCTTGTGCTCTTCAAGATATCATTGAGACTGTTGGTGATCAGTGCCAGCAACAGAATGAAGATTGTGTCTCACAAAGAAAGGATTGCAATGATAAAAGAGATTTGCAGGCAGTTTTCAATGTATTGGACACAATGCTGAAAGATAGTTTGGAGCGTTTAAAGACGATGAGGTCAGGATTTTGATTTTAGATCATTTTTGAAGTGGCTCATTGGAAAGTTATACATTATAGTCCTTCCCATTACAAGATGAAAATATTACGGAAGCTCTTAATTTTAATAATTCCATTTGTGCTAATTTTCA